GGCGCGAGCGGGAGGCGCCATCGCCACAGGGCCGTTACAAACTGTCCCTCAGCCGCCCCCGCGCCGCCGCCGCTGAGGTAAAACCTTCTCCCGCCGCGCTGGGTCTTCAGGTACCGGCATCGCCGCTGCTGTGGGGAGCCCGCGGGAGGTCCCCGCCGGCGCACCGGTCCCTGCAAAGTCGGTACCGAGCCCTCCCAACGGTCCCCGCCGCGGTGCGGGCTGTGAGGGAAGCCGGGGCTGGTGTGAGGCGGTGGGCTGCCACCAGCGAGGTGGTTTTCGCCAAAATGGCCCGAACACAAAAACGGTGTACGGCCCCATCAAATCCATGTAAAGGTCGGTCATTATTTTGAGAAATACTCCTCCCTACACTGGAAACAGATGCAGTTAAAATTTTCAGGTAAAAAGAGACTCTCTCGAGTGGCTTACCAATGATAAAAGCAAGTCAAGATTTCCAAAGCGTGCCAGATGTCTGCCTGAGACTTGACTGGTTTAATTCTGCACGGTGTCAAACTAAAAAAACAGTGGGAGGATGGTTAAGACGCCTATCGCATGTAATCAGAGCTAATTATATGCTATACATACCAGTCACAAAGATTCTTGCTGTATGGAGACGTTTTACCTCTTTTATTAGGATGAGATTTTCGGTGCATTATGCCATAGGGAAAATTATTCTATGATAAAACTGCAACCCCACTAAAATTGAGGCAGAGTCTGTGTTTTTATGCACGGAGTATGCAGAATGGTAGGGACACAGAGACTACATGTGTCGATTTATACATACAGTAAAGCTATTCCTTTGCCTACAGACTGCTGAGATGCCATTTTTCTCTTGCTTTAAACTTTTTCGAAGCCTGATGTGGCTATCGGTATAAATTTGCTGTATTCAAAAATGCAGGTCCTACTGAAATTTAAATTCATCTAAGTTTTCCAATTACTTCAGAGAAAGTGGACTTTAAATCCACATATGACTGCTTAGATCGAATTATCACTGCCGAGCATCATTAAGTAGTCTCTTAATATAAAACGTTCATTACCTCACACTGTACACTGTTTTCAGTACCAGCCATGGTTTTGCCTTTGTTGTTTTCCATCTGCACAAAATTGATGCTCATGAAGCACAGGAAAAGCCAACCAGGAGTTTCACAGAGATAACTTACTCAGCTACAGCTTTGAAGAAAGAATTGGGTTTTATTTTCATCAGTTTAATTAGTTTGCATTTTGAACTATTTAGGGAAGTGGTTTTTTAATGTCTTTCATCACATGCAAAAACTCAACTGAGCTTCAGTGAAATTGCATATGTGTCAGTGAATTTTGCTCTCAAGAAACTAATACATTGTGTAGCTACTGTAACTGAAGTACTTGGGATTATTCATTTAGGACAGTCTAGGTGTCTAACCTAATTGAACATACTGTATCAGTGTTAGATATTTTAGAGCATAGCCATGTAACAATCTGTTTGCATCAAACTTTGTATGCTTGCGAGAGCCTTTTGACTTAAAAAATTATACTGCCCATATCATATTCCTTTTTCAAAAAAAATCCTCTGTTATTACAGTGGGCTACAGGAATGGACTCCAATTGCCTCTAGAATTTCCCTTGAGAACAAAACATAAAAGTACAGCTGAAAGTAGATGAGAAATGCTCTTGCTTCCCAAATGTATGCTCAGAGCAAGGCTTCCACATATCAAGGTTTATTTTCTTTTCAGAAATAGATAAAAGGGTGTTTTAATATTGGTTCTTAGTTTCAAGAAAGTCACGTTCTTGCTTTTTCTGTTGCACTTCCCATCGCTAATTTGAATTACATGTTCTATGGGCTGTGTTTTTCATTATTTGAGTATTGTCTAAATGGAGATTGGTTTGCTGTTTCTACAGTGGAAGGTAATGTCTACTATCTATTCAGTTATCTGACACTGATAATACTTGACTTGCAGAAGCCTTCATGTTACATCCCTCCATTTTGAGGGGTAAACCAATGATAAATCTCCAAGTAATTACAACACTATATATTACCATATATATTTCATGCCATAGAACTTTCACCTAAACTGTTTCTGTAGTTTGCTTCTGAGAATGCCATGTGAGACAGTGGCAAAAAAAACCCCTTATTAAAGTCATGGTATAGCACTGTAAGTGCTGCGTGGAAGGCTACTTTTTCTACTACAAAATACCTAATGTTCATTTAGATTAAGTGCTTTTCTTCAGCCTGCCCTTCCTGTTTTACTTGCTTTCTGGTCAATTTTGGCCAGCACTTGCTTTCATTTGAACTCTATAGCACAATAATAGGGGGGAAATTTTCCTCTTTGTTTATTTGAAGGAGATCCTGCCTGAGAAACAGCCAGGATGACAACAAAAGAATCCATTACAAACCTCAAACGTACTTTGTATTGTTACAGTCTTAGAAATATTTTGCATTTCCAGCTGAAATGTGT